CTATCTATCTATCTATCTATGCTATGAACGCTTACATGGCACGTAATGTGTGTGTGTGGTGTGTGTGTGTGTCTGTGTGTGTGTGTGTGTGTGTGTGTGTGTGTGTGTGTGTGTGTGTGTGTGTGTGTGTGTGTGTGTGTGTGTGTGTGTGTGTGTGTGTGTGGTGTTGTTTCAAGAGGAGATGTGTGAATCCTGCAATCACCACTGCCTTCTCGTAGTTATTTCCGATGGCTGTGTGGAGGCGGAGGACTTCCTCCTAATGGACGGACGCCACTCACTGACATGATGCTGACTGCAGGCAGACAGACGCACCAGTGATACGCAGCTGACCACCACACAGGCTGGGAAATGCTGTCGGGCACTGACCGAGATCCCATGTGCAATAAACATGCACTTTGTTTTACCAACAGGTGGCAAAGGGAAACACGTGCGAAACAGCACTTGGAAACGTTTAATATGCTCAGCTGACTGATGTAAAAATAAATTAACTAATAACCTTTTCAAGAATGATTGTCTGACCTTACTGCTTTAATGTCCTTTGTGACAATGATCATGATCTCCCATACAACACAACACCAGTTGTTAATGATATTTCCTGTGTGGGAATTATCGCACCTCTGTATGAGGAAAACTCCGAAAACATTCATCAATCCGGCAAACAATCCTTTCTCTGCGCAGAATTCTTTGCAAATGAGGAAAAACTGAAGGCGTGCACACAAACATATATTATTCAAACACTAACCACAATTATACAAATACGTACTGCTCTCCCAAACAGCACATTTCAGTACGGACACAAAGAACATTTCTCAACAACAGAACCATATGCTGTTTTTTAAGGTCTGCAATAAGCGCCACTTGTTTTTTCTGTGATAACTTTCACCGCCCAATCAAAACAAACATCTCGGTGGCAGGACAGCTGGTACCCAGACTGTTGGATTTTGCTAAATTAGCTATTGAATCTTTTAAACCAGATACGCAAGGAAACTTCAGCACAGTACGTTTCGAAGTCAGGATTTAAAAGCATCCCATTGGAGCGTCGTAAAAAAAAAAGAAAAACGAAGCATGCGGCAGCAGAGGGGGGAAAGGAACACCGACACGGATTTCAATAAATACAGATGTGGGAAATGCATAATGGGCACGTTCAGGCCAGGTGTGGACGGAAATTATCTTTGAAATCGAGCCAATCAAATCACATGTGAATGTATAGATATATGCGTCGTATATGGTGAGAAGGGAATGTCGGAGCACTTCCTGGGACATCCAAAGGAACTGATTTCAGACTGTTCTTATACCAAGAAGTAGGCGCTGTGTCACAAAGGGCAGACGGTAGGTCTTTGTTGACATGTGAAGCTGAGCTGGAAACTCTCACCTTCACCACTAACACAACAACAACAACAACTGTTTAGTTTTGACATAGTAAACCGTCCAAGTATATGGATGCAGCTTCCCGGTGTGTAGATAATAAGACTCTGTAGTGGACTCAGTTATTGACTGGCTGACACTGATTTTCTGGGTGGATTACACTCATGTCCGGCTCTCTGTTTGCCCTTACTAGTTGCTGGTTATATGACCGGCAGATTATTGGGTTTTGACGACTGATTTAACTTTGTTTAAAATAAGATGACTCGGTGACTGCAACACAGCATTAAACACTGACTGAAATCACTACGGTGGGCATCGTTAAACTGTTGCAGTCAAAAACCAATGACAGTACGGAAGTTTTTTTGACCAGGGAGGACAACCAGGGAGCTCTATGGCAGCTTGTTGTATTAAAGTATCAACATGATCGTAGCTTGCTATATCCCACCCACTTTGCACGAGTGAGTGGGAGGACAGCTGAGATAGTCAATAGAGTTGCAAATGGGATGAACGCTTCAATCAACTTCAGGACCATCTGTTTTATTTTAGTTCTGCAGAACCCACTTTGTTAACTACACTCATGCCCCAGTTACCCATTCATATCTTCTCAAGGTTAAACTGGCCATCTCTGTTGTGTCCAAATACGCATGTACTGTGATATGTAGAGGACGTCATGCGTATGGCTCTGACCTGATATTCACTCACTTTACAACACATGTTCAGTAAACCATCGCTTCCTCAGAAATAACACTGAGCCATCGTATCGTTTAATATAAAGTGCTAAATATGTGTCCACTCAAACAATGATATCCTTAAACTGAAAGCTTTAGGTGGGAGAAGAAAAGGCCCAATCCCCACTCATAAATCTCTGCCATCTACACTACACACACGTCAAGTTTCTGACTGCTTATTGCACGGTTGACCATAGACAGACAGGCATATCCCATTTGACTAGGTGTCTCCAAGGCTCACAGGTGAAAACAAAACCAGCATCGCTGTCACAACTTGTAACAGCAGCCACATTCAGGCTCAAAGTTGAACCGTACATGATCAGAGATAAAAGCAGTCCATAGCAGCAGGGCTTTCTCGCTCAGTCCTTCTGAGTTGATCCTCTACCTTAGTGGACATCATTCTGGGATGCAGGTAACACTCACTAGTCCTTGATTTAGTTGTAACCGTAATCTGCAGCTTCAAATTTAACACAGGTAAGAAAAAGAGTCATTTCAAATAAAGAAATGCAAAAATGCTTTTTAGCCACCGGGAAATGTTTAAAAAGACAATAAAATACACATCCAAACTAAATGTATTCACTACTTTAACAGTATACGTTTTTGCTATATTCCCATATTTCTGCAGTTGAACATATTCAAACATTTTAGTCATATTCTCCAAAAGAATGCTTTGTATGTCTCTACCAGAAATGTTGTCATAAAAGCAATCAACTATTTTTCACATCCAACTGTATAAGTGAAAAAACACACAACATTGCTTTCTCTTACAGTTTAAACCGATACAAGATTGCAATGATGTGAAGCTGCACAGTCTATTTTCAGAATCCATGGGCTTTCAGTCTTGTCAATAAGTTCTCTGAGCTCTGCTGGATGGACCCATGCGCAGTGCCCAAAAGCGCAACAGCAACAAACAAAACGTTGCTGGATATAAACGCCCTGCTCATGTCTGTAGCAGAAACGCGTGGCGCGCTGTGGATCCAACAGAAACCATGCGAATGTGTATCCCGTGTCCAAAACACAACCAAGCCGTATTCTCTTCGCTGTTAACAAAGCCTTTACGGTCATATCGTCACGATCCAGTGGGAAAACATGTACCCTCACACACGAGTGCCTCCACAATAGCCACATGCACCGAGCACCATGAGGGAAGCACCGGACGGATATACTCCTCTCCGGCTGGCCTTTGAATCAGCGTAAACCAGTGTGTGTACGCATCCACTTACGCATCCCGGGCTGGGCGAAAGAAACCTAACCATCCCGAATAAACCGAGCGATCTTCCGTGTTGATACGCAATCCTGAGTCGGAGCACTACTAGAGAGTGGAAGCGCACGGCGATCGCTGCCGCCCGGGTCCCTGTCTATTGGTTCCCTTTCAGCTGGGGCAGCGTCAGCTCACACACAGTCTCCATTTGCAACTCCATCGCCCCCCATGGGCGTGCGAGGCCGCGGGCTGTGACGCAAATGGCACTGAGTGATTCGCAAATGACATATCTTCCTAATTCACTACCGTCGCCACAGGGACTAGTCCAATTCACGAGATATTACACACACACATATCCCTCCGATGGTGGGTGACGAGTAAATAAAGGCGGATGAGCAGTTTGCTCTACGGGATGCGATTGCATAACTCAGGAAACTTAATAAAATGTGCACGGAGGCGAGCGATGTGCAGTCTCCAAAGCTGATGTGCTGTTTCGGTTTGATCGTGATGGCCTGTGCCGTATCACTCTGCACACGATCAGTGCTCGACTTTTGGCCACAGGAGGAACCAAGCAGAGCGTACATACAGGGAACCGAGTAGCCTCGCTATGGTGGATGTGTGGTGGCCAAAGGACGCATGCACGTAGCTGACGGGGAGAGACAGGACAGCCGGAGTGGGACTTATAGGACCGCATTCACAGGCCATAAAGGGCCCGCATGAATACTATTGTGCTCTTTTATCCAAGAGTCCCCAACTATTTACAAAAGGTTGGCCAACACACACAAAAAAATATCGCGGCGAAATGGTGGCGGCGGTTACAGCAGCTGCTCTGCGCAAAGCAGCAGCACAATCATTGCGCCGCGCCGGACTTCCCCAGTTTTGTGCAAACTATGTGATTTGTCTGAAATACTTTTATGTGCATCTCATTCAGGCTGTCCTTGTCTGGTGAGCAGGGAACCAGAGCGCAGGGCAGTCGCCGTTCTCATGGCACGATTTGCATCGCCCCCATTATCCCCGAAAATCTCTTTTTACACGCTTATATTGTCAGCCTAAAAAACACAGTTTTGAACAACAATGGGACAGCTTGACTTGATCAAAGGAAAAGCCAAGTACAAAATGCACCTTTCACACCGTATAAGAGAGGCCCCTCGTAACGATTGCAGCATGGCAGGGGAGTGCGGCGTAAAAACGAGCTAACCCGAATAAAATACACACAAAGACAAGGTGCAATGCTTCCATAAATACGTTCATCGCCACTATGGTAACAACACTAAAACATCCGTCGTCATGTGGATAAGCATTAGGCCGGTGAGGATGGCATTATTATGAATGTAAAACGCTGCGTTTTGCGGCTCCGTGCCACCTTTTCCAAGAAGCAGCTTGGCGCACAGGACCGGTGACCCTTCCATCTTTGCGCGTCCTTCTATCGAGCGAAACCATGAACTATCTCACGTTTTGACGATTTACCATTGAATAAAACACATCCTACTAGCTGATTTCCTCTTTTAGGAGGTAAACGCTGCGTGTAGAGGCTGCTACAAGTCTCTGAAACTATTCCTCTCCCCGCCGCGGCCAGGCAGAAACAAGAGGGCGATGACGCCATTTTCTGCAAAAAACAACCATGCTCGGGAAGCCAAAGCGAAGGAGGTTTAACCCGCTCCGCAGCCCTCTTCCCCCGCTGAAACGCACTAAAAACAAGTCCTTACCTTGTCTAGGTTCGATGGGTGGTGTAATTGAGTGTTTGAGAGGGTAAAACTACGCGTTCGTAGCTACTTCGAGTCCGGAGATTGTTTATTTCGCCTCCCAGCGTCCCCGGTTCACTCTGAACAAGTTCCTCTGCGAGCCGCTGTCTTTGTGCACCCAGAGGAGCCTCTCAGTGTAAAAACCAGCCTCTGCGCAAAGGTGCAACCTCTACGTCCAATTTCAGCTTGAAATGTGGGAACTTTAGAGCAACATTGGCACAAAAAAGAACGATTTGACGTCTTTTGAATAAGAAAAGTTAGATTATTTTCCCGTTTTAAACCAAAGGCCACGGTTGTAACGCGCAACCTGTTTAGCTCTCCACGAGTCCACGACGCAAACACCAAATATTACAGGGGTGGATACACCCTCTCAAAACTTAATAGGCTACAACAGATAAATGGCCCTATCATCAACTAAATAGTTTGGGTAACAACCCGAATAAAGTCAATAATCTGAAGAAATGTGAGCCATTGATTCATTAAAATACACATTGTCCAAATTCAAATTTCTCCAAAAAGAGGATACACAAGTATGCTGCAGATACATTGAACACTGTTTGGTTTATTTTCCTACTATGAACCACATCTGACAATAGTATGGCCCTTGTTCAGCTAAGCATTAGGCTATACCGAATATTATATTTAACTTGTTCAACATCACTTTCTACACTTTGCCTAAGAGTACAAGGAAATACGTGTGAAAATAATGGTGTAACCAAGTGCATGTATTCAAGTACTGTATTGTATTTACACATGATGCTACTATATACTTTTACTTCACTATATTTTTTAAGCAGATATTGAACTTTTTACTCCACTACATGTATTTTACATATGTAGTTACTTTCCAGATGTATTTGCAGTTACATTATATTCCAGTAGTAAAGTAACTCAAATAAAAAACCCCACCAAGTGCAACGTTAAAGTGATGATCACAAAAATGCACCAATAAGTTATTGTTCTTTTATTACATCTGGAGTTGGCCATTTTGCACAACAAGTACTTTTACTTATGGCACTTAAAGTATAGTATTTTAATGCAGGACTTGTAGTATTTCTTCTTTTACTTGAGTACTTCTTCCAACTCTGTATTAATGAAGTATCATTCATTTGGATGGGAACCCACTTAAGTCCCCTAACAACATAACTTCTCCCACTAAAATGCTGATTCTAGTGTTTTCAGTCTCCTTTAAAAAAAATCCGATCAGTGCTAATAGAGAGCACAGAAAGCCAATACTGAGTAAATCAATAGTTGACAGAAAAGACTAAGCCAACTGTGAATAGTGTTATTGTGACATTAGTATTATTCAGTATTTGATTTAATGCATATCACACAACTCCCTTGCAAACAAACGTTGAAGCATTCAAACATATTTAAAAGTATACTCATATTTGGCAAGTGACTGCAGTGTTAAGTGAATTCTAAAATGTAACGGCTAGCCATGCTGCCAATGTACCAATGTAGATGTTAGCTAAGAAATAACGTCTAATAACGGTTTAGCCAAACTTAAAGTTCCTTTTATCTCACAACAACTGCTCCTTAATCACAACTAACCAATAATACCAAACCATGAAAATACCCAAAGGTTTTATCATATTCTAAATGAATTAATTGATTGTCGCGTTAGCATTTTAGCTAGATTATGCTAAATCTTACCAAAGCTAGCTAAATTAGCATAGATGCTTGATGCAGATACGGCTAAAAACAAAAGTATTGTCCTCGTTATGTTTTAAACTGAAAGGTGACACTGCTCTTCTGCGATTTTTCGATTTAAAATAACAATTATTTAAAATGTTATAATTTGTATTTTTGTACATTTATGGACAATAAAACCGTTTACAAGGAAATATAGACAGCACAGCCTTACCTTGGTCCCAGGCTATTGAACAAAAACGTGTATATCATCCGGTTCATCACTTCAATGTCTAATAAAATATGAATACTATTCGAGTTATGTCAAATATAAATCACACATTGACTGAAAAACAACTTAAATATCCATTCACTAAGTAGAGTAAAGTTAACAAGCACTACAACAAGCTAAATATTAAGCTAATGTTAGCTAGCTCGTGTATGTTATTCTATGTAGCTTAAAGTGTATAAGTTATGATTAATTAGGGGCAGCTGGTTAATTATCTTGTAAAAATGTGTCTATCCTGGAGTTTGTCCCGTTTTAAAAGATAATAATATTCATATCAAAACATTCTACAATACATAAATAGAATACATGAAATAAAGCTAATGGATTGAAGTAAACTGACTGGATAAAAGGCTGTGGTCAAACAATAAAGTTTATTAAACCTTTTAATGCATTAGTAGGCCTATTTTAGTGAAATTTTGTACAACTCATTTTTATATTTAAAACATCTCATCTCACAGGCTACTTTCCAAAAAATATAAAATAAGTTGTAACACAAGCACTAAAGATTGACTTCAGACCAGGGTATTAATTAAAACAGCACAATATACTAGTTTCATATAAATAATTGTACAGAGTAATACAAGATCAAGGTTATTTTATGGTCACTGCCGAGTCCTTAATGCTAAATAAGAAAAATGTATGCTTTTTATGGTTGAGTGATAGAAGGCTGCTTTAACAAAGTAATAAAGCTCTATCATTGGGTACATACTCTGTATCATAGATTGAGAACACAAAAAGTATGCTAATGGAGTAGTTAGTTTAGTTTTTAGTAAGTATAGAGGTATATCACATATTTGAAGTGTCGGGACATGTTGGAACTGTGAAAAAGATTATTTTAGCTGCCCAATAACAGAATTACCAAAGACATTTTCTATTTGGATATGTCTTGTGTAAGGGAGTTTACCAAGGCAGGTCACCATAAATACAATTGTACTTTTTATTCTTATATTCAGGTCTCCCTTGAAAAAGATATCAATGATCTCAATGGGACCTGTTAAATAAAGGTTTGAAATGAAATGAAATAAAAAAAACACATTACTATTTCAATTGTTCACGAGAAAACTATGAGGTTTACCTTCACTAACTGTACGGAGGCTCAGTCATTGGTACATGTTTATCTATAAAGCCATGTTGGGTAAACTACCAACTTATATATGCTCTTTGATCTCACAGAGAGTGGCAAGTAGCTATTGTCTGAGATCCCAGGATGTGTTTTTATTACATATGCCAAGTGCTAGGACTGTTTTAGGTACAAAAGCTTTTATGTGCGCTGCTCCTCTAGCTTGGAATACTATGCACATGTTTTTGAAACTGAGCATTTTGGTTCCCCTGCATCATTTTAAAGCTTGGATAGATTAAATGTTATTTGATACCTGTCATTGTGAATAGGTTGCCATTTGTACACCTGTATTTATGTTGTATGATGTCCTTTTTGTTTTCTGTTGTTTTTATGTGTAACCAATGTGCTGCAGGTCTCCCTTGAAAAATAGATTGTTGATCTCAATGGGATTTTACCTGGTTAAATCAAGGCTACAAACAAACAAACATGAACAACAATAGTCAGAAAAAGCTTTGAGTAAAGAAACGTTTCAGAGGTCTGAGCCCAGGTCAGATGTGGTACTTTGCCTCTGGCGATGGAAACGAAAAGAGAAGTATCGAAAGTGTCCCATGTGAGAAAAATGAAATGCACTCTTTGTTCTTTTTGCCATTATATCACAATCTAAGATACAGGCCTTTTTTCTCTCTAACATGTCTGTAGAATGCCTTGATTTGTTTTCTACACTTTGGTGCAAAACATTTCACATAGCTCAGATTGTGAAGTGTTGTAGCTGTAATATCGAAGGAGATGGATTGTGTTCATATTTGCTTTGACTTTTTTTTAAATATGTGCAGGTTTATAGTTTTTTTAGCTTTCATTATGGGAGGCGTGTGGCGCAGTGGATAGAGCCTTGGTGTTGGGATCAGGGGTCACAGGTTCACACCCCACTGCAGTCAGCATGTCGTTGTGTCCCTGAGACACTTCACCCCAAATTTCTCCTGTGGGGATTGTCCACAGTATTGAGTATGTAAGTCGCTTTGGATAAAAGTGTCTAACATGTAATGTAATTATGTTTTCACTCCTGTTAAGTAGCCATGTGTTGTGTCCCAAATGTGTCCATGTGTGCCACACTGTCTCCTCTAACAGAGGTACAACATAGTTTATTAACACAATCAATAAAGTACAATAGGCTTCTTAAAGTAAAATGTATAATAAGCTGCATACTCTAGGTCTATAATTAGGCCTTGAGCATGAAGAAGTACTATAACTAATGCCAATAGTAGATGGCACTCATGCATAGTTGTTGCAAGATGTTTACCACACTTCATGCCGTAATGGATCCAAAGATATAGCTATATATGTAGCTCACCGTGCTTTACAGAATATAACAAAATGAAAATGCCACACAGTCACAAAAAGCAAATAGACAGTGATGCTAAAATAGGAATAATAGAAAAAACAGACCATTAAGATTAGCATACTGGCTTTTCAATGGTAATTGTTAAGTTTATATTTAGTGTTATACCACTTTTATAGTATGCTATTTATTTTGTAAACTCAATTATACGGGCTTACCAACAGTGATTCAGGATTCCTCAACATCTTTGGCAGCATCTTCCCTTATATCCAGAGTCAAACCCTACCTGGTGAATCATTTTATGGGGAAAATTGCAAAAACTAATTCAAAATCAAACTGAAACCTCAAGGTTGGAGGTTGAATTATTAGAGCATATGAGTATTTTTATTTTTTAAAAGGCCCACTTAAAGCTAAGCGGCTATCCTATTCAACCAGAACAGATTTAGATTTGGACACATGGTGAACAAATTGATTGCACATGTTGTAAAAGATCCTTTTAGAGCTATTCATAAAGAAACAAATCATTTACCCCCCAGGTTAGGCAGCATTCAATGTGTTAAATGATACAAAAATGCTCTACATATCCTCAATTCATCCTAAGATCTTAAATCAATCTAAGAAAAACACTCTACTCATTGAATGCAAAGTGGGGGAACTTAAGAAGTTCTATAAGTTATAATCCCTGGCAGCTCTTTCCTTTGGGCTCATGAGAGCTCACAACAAAAGGTGCCCACCACTATCGGCCATACACAATTAACTAAAGCACCAGCATTATTCCATTATCATAAGAATGCTGTTTGCAATGGGGGGAGAAACTCCTCGGCATTCATGAACGTTGCCCGAATAGAGCCGAGAGCTTTTATCTTCTCAATTACATGCAAGCTGCATTTATCACAGAACCTAGTGGCGTGTTTGGACACTTTTTTCGTGCATGACAAATAATTTGTTTATGCCAGTCATTTAAAATAGCCTGTTTATGATTACAAGTGTTTGGAGGGGTGATGCCGGAGATTAGAGTATGGCTCGATTCCAGTGGGATAGTAAAATGCAAACAAGATGAACAGATTAGACAGAAAAAGAATTTCCCCATCCTTGGCTGCGATTATGAATTCAGCGGACGACCTGTGCAGTAATTGTTCACCCCGCAGGAGCATGTGAATAAATGAAGACCTTACTCTGAGTTTAACATCGTTTGTGCTGCATTGCATTTATTTTGAGTGCTTCTGATGTGAAAGTGGAGATAACTGACCACAAGGTGTCAATGTTGTCAGGTTTGTGTTTTGATGTCATAGCAGCCCATTAATGTAAAAAAAAGGAGGAAAGCAGCGGGTAGAAAATGCCTGCTGGATGTCATGCTCAAATAAATCTAATTGAATGTAGCGATTTGTCTGGAGAGCAGTAATAGATGGCAGTGGAGCCATCTGCACATGTAACTACAGCCTCTGCATCAGAGCCAAAGCAATCCATGCACAGGCCTCTGTAAAACGTCCTTAAACTGCCCAGTGTAATAGTACCAGGATGAAAAGCATACATTGTGTTTTAAGCTTTCCACTTAGAAGAAAATGCTGTTTGGAAAAGGCAGAAGTGGCTGTGCAGAACGGTAATCAGAAAAAAAATTATGCAGCAGCTCCTTTTGTGGAAAAACACTCAAAACTCCAGGCTTAGATTAAATGTTGGGGCATAATGTTGGGGATGCAGACTGACCATGAAGTGTTGTGAATGTTGGCCATATTTTATTTTAACATGGATTTGTAATCCTGTCAATAAGGTTGTTTGTCTGTCTGACCTTTGTCACATAACGTTTCCTTTTAACAGATAATAGAATTACCAACGAAATGGGTTTTAACTCACGTGAACAACAGGAACCCATGGACAATTTGATCAATATCAAAAAATGGCTTATACAGTCTGGCAGCACTTATGGCGATAATTGGTAAAGCACATGTTTTTTATACTTCCCTAAGATCCAAATTGAGTAACCACTTGCGATTTTTCCAGAGAATGTTGCCACAGTTCATAATACTGCAGTGGGCCAATCACCACCCAAACTCTGGCAGTAAATAAAAACGAAAAATAAGAAAAAGTAGGGATAAAACCGACAGTTATTTTGTCGTTAAATAAATGCATGATTTATATTTGTCTGACCTTTTTTTAATATTGATTCACAGGTAAAGATTGAAGAAAATCACAGGAGAGCATGAAAGGTCACCAATGAGCAAATATCTGGATAACTGCTAGCTGTGTCCTGTCATTCTGTTAAATGTCAGAAAAGAAAAGGAAAGGCAAGAAATAGCATGAAAGGCAGAGGTGATGTCTCACTGTCAACAGAGGCAACATAACAACAGTGCTATAAGGCACTTTATGTAAAATGGCACCACTGAAGAACATTTTGGCTTCCTTTGTATTCCCCTTACAGTACAGTATCATGAAATAGTTTGAAGGCCCCAAAAATGATCTCACCACCTTCCTGGCAGGTCAAAGGTTGGGGTCAGGTCTTGGATTCAACTTCATGCTGCAAGACGTTGAAAGTATTCCTGACGTCTGTGAAGAAAATACTATTTGTAACTTATAAACTAGTATTTAATAAGCAGCTGAGATCCCCCTCAAAGAAAAATGTATTTGCACTAGGGCTGCACGATATATCGTGTCGTGACGATAATCGCGATATGCGCATGCGCGATATTCACATCGCAGGACGTGCGATGTTTTAAATGTTTTCTTTAAAAAAAAAATGTAGGACTTGCGATATTAAGTAGGCAAATTAACTCAAAACACGTCATGTTACAATTGTTTTGCTGCTTGCAACAAAAGGATAACTTGCGCAGCTCTCATGTCAGGGATACTTGAGTGAGTGACACACAGGCTCTGCATGCACAGCAAACCACCAATCACAATCAAATCTCCAAAGCAACCGGACGGTGATTAAAGGTAAAACACTGAATAAAGTAGTTTCATGTGTTTCTTCAGGGCAGTTCGCCGCTGCTAACCGAGCTAGCTCAGCTTGTTGCTCTGATAACTTAAGATCCAGACGTCCGCTACTAAAATCCTTCATCCGGTTAAATATAGTTAAAAAATACCAAGTGTATAGCATTAAAGTTCAAGAAAGGATGGTTTGCGGGAAAAAAACACGGCCTTTTCTTCAATTCCTGTATGTTTTCATATCACAATATATATCGCAGGGGGGGGGGGGGGGGGGGGGGGGGGAATCGCAATGTCAATTTTTTCCAATTTCGTTTAGCCCTAATTTGCACTTAATTATGTGGTGCACAAAATGGGTATTTGTTTTTGTTTGTTTCATTTCCTTGTCAACATGGGGAGTTTTCTAGTTACAGCATCAGCAGGATATCTCCTTCCCTATTCAAGACATGTTCTGGTTAGTACACTCCATATTGTTTTAGTTATATCTTAGTTTACTGTGTGGTGTGTCCAACACTGGTTAGGAAAAATTGAAAGCTTTAAAAAGGTCCTTATGGTAAGGGTTTGTTGTTTTGAATTAATCAGTTGATTAGTTTCTAGATGAATTGGTCAAGAAAATAATAGTGAAATATGTCCATACCAGTGTTTTAAGTACAAGATGTCTCTTAATGCTTTGTTTTGTTAGACCCAAAGATATTTCATTTCATATAAAAAGTATTACACTTCACCAGATACGTTTTATTTTTGTTGGTTGATGATTTATACACTAATCGATTTAGTCTCATACTAATGTTTGGCAGGTATATTTTTTACAATTTGTTCACTATTTTATTCAGTGCGCCTGCAAAGTTCATGGCAGGTTGATGGGAATGCCAAATAAATAGACATTTTGAAAATAGGGATGGTGCTACATGAAACATCAAGGATCCCAGTACCAAAGGAAAGGACATCTTCTTCAGCCAATAGATGTTGAGATGTTTCAGTGCTGATCCACGATGCTGGGGAAAAAATGGTGGCAGAAAATGTGGAATAATGACAAAACCTGTTGTCAGATGTTGGCATAGAAGCAGACAGGGCTCAGCATTCTTCAGTGTTTCTGCATCTGGAAACATTTTAAAACCCAAAATACACACATTTGAAGCTGCTCTGACAAACACAGAAGACTTTTTTTTGCTCTAGTCCAACAACACAAACATGTCATGTGATACATCACTGATCATGAGTTCCTTACAGAGAAAACACTCAACGTATAAAACCCATTGTATCCCTCCGATGTCAACATCCATATCTGTCTAAAATGTCACGATTTCCTAATTTTCTCCTATGGAAAGCATGTGGGAAATTCTTTAAACTAGACACGTTGCTGAGTTTTGGCCTTACATTTGTTAGTGACATCCCAGTAAGTTTGACCTTCAACCAACACATTCTAACTAATTCATACTTGAGTCAAAGTGGACCAACTTTGAGGAAATCCGCTCTATTTCTCGCCTCAGTGAGACTTTCCTTCCAATTCAAAAGCTTGGATTACAAAAAACAACATCCACTTTCAATCATTTAATAAAAGCTTGGATATAAGAAAACATTTTATACAGCAAGTGTTGTTGTATGGTGGGAAATCCTTTTTTTGGTATCCAACTGCAGTCAGAGTGAATAACTCTAACAAGGCATGTTTGGATCAGACACAACAAACAATGGTGTGCTGGTAAACTCACCCACAAAACACTCCATCTTCTTTCACTGCAGTTGCCAAAAAAACACTTTTACAAATATATATATAGATTTGCTTTCAATATCTCAAACATGTATATAAATAGACGTTGATTAAAGATCTGGGCGTTATGACAAAGTGCAAAAAAAGGAAGGGGGAGGCTTTAAAAGAAACTGTTATACCTCCATCAAGTTCAAAATATACAACTGCTCTGAAATCCACTGAAAACTGTCTTAATTTTAGCTGCAACAGTGACTGTAACTTCCTATTTGTATTACTATAAACAGTAGGTCAGGTTGGGAAGTCCCAACAATCCTTTCAGCACTAAGATCATCAGCTTTGATCCATAAAAAAACCTCACTAAATTCCACACTTAACCATGGTTGTATCCTTTAAACAAACATAAACAATAGTTATACTAGTACATATGTTGGTATGTATATCAGAGAAAATGATTATTGTAATTGTAGGCATGTTAAAGGGATAGTTCGGATATTTTGAAGTGGTTTTATATGAGGTGTTGCCATGGCAGTAGAAGGACATATTTAAGCCACCTTTAGGAAGAGCCAACGTTAAAAGAAAATCAATATAGTTTAAGTGTTCTCTATATATTATTCAGACCTTTCTTAAGGGGAACTCGAGTCGTAATCTACGCTCTCTGCAAAGACACCAGGCTACATGGACAAAAACATTTTAGCTCGCAAATCTGCTAATATACCACTTCCTTGATTTTGTACGTGTAATTGAGTGACTCGGGTGATACGGAGTTACCCTTTAAAACACTGAAGTCATACAATAACACATCAAATACAATTCTGGGAGATAAAATGAGTGTTTTTGTGAATGGAGTAAGGTGGCTTTGAGGAGAGTAGAGATAACACCTTCAGCTCCCCGCAGGAAAAGTCTGTCTCACAGCAAGGGGAAGCAATGGAAATATCCAAAATTGGTCATACACTTAAATTGAAATATAGTTTTTTTTGTGGGACTATCTTTTGGATGGCTTAAATATATTTTGCTGCCATTCTTGTTTTTCCTGTCCTCTTCTACAAACACTGACTTTGGATAAAAACCTCATACAACCCCACTTCAAATCATCAGAACTCTCCCTTTCACAGATTAACTGTACATTGCGAGCACCCGGACAAACCATGTGTGTGTAGATAAGAACAATCGCTATGAATGAAATCAAAATGCTCTCAGTTACGCCACCTTTATCAGCAATACAACATGAAGACAGGATACATTTTTAGACACATTGTGGCATCCATCATACCAAGAAAAGAGAAATCCTCACATGTTTCTTTAGCTATACACCGACTTAAAGTGACAACCTCATAATATAATCATATTTTAGCATCTTTGGACTTAAGTTGTGGTAGTGAGCTCCTTTGGAAAATGTTTCGTACACCTAATGCTGAATTAAAATACATGTAAGGAAGCCTTTCTGAAAGGTAACTGAAAGCATTTTGACCAATCGATCCTGGAAGATTAAGATGGTTTCAAAGTGTAATAACTATTGTTTTGAGCATTGGAAGATTTATGAGAAAGGGTGGAACCACAGGCCAACATGAATGCGGGGTCCTTTATATGAAAATACTAACCAAAGTAATAGCATATGTCAGATACAGATTTATGGAAATAAAAAGAGCAACCGAGTAAACGTCCTCTCCTGATAGAGGCTGTGGCTGTCCTATATTAGGATTGCATACTTCTTTTATGCAGGTTTGAATGTGTTAACACTACAGAAGTGACAACCTTGGCAGGCGTACTTGAGTTGAGTGCGCTGTTGATGGATCTTTGGGTAAATGGAGGAGCTGTTAAATGCTAATTAAAACAAAAAGTGAAAAATGTGCAGGGACTGGCAAAACAACTCCTTATAAAATAGGAAAATTCAATTGTCAATCAGACTTTGCAAAGTTGCAGTATGGCTGACATCTGTTTGTGAATTACTGTATCAAAAAGAGTTTTTACGGTAGACTCTCCCAAGTCAAATTTGTTTGAATTGATACATTTTTTGTCTAATATTTCCGCCTATTATTGTGAAAAAGCCTCAGTTATTATAACATACTGAATACAGATACTTACATTTGGAAGGACAGACACAGCCCACACAGTTAAAGTCCATATTTAGCCGTTTGATTATTAATTCATATTCATTTAAAAACGTGCAACTAACAAACTCTTCAATATTTTGAGAAACCAGGCTGATCATTATCAATATCATTAAACACATATTTAGTTGGAGGAAAACATCTTTGTATGGCTCATATTCGGTAAAAGGGGACGATAATTAATAAATATAAAAATAATAAACAGATATGTACACATTTTCCACAATATGAACTATCATAATACTTTCAACATTTCTTCAAAATGCCATAGAAATGATTCTTTGCTTTTCCCGTAGCTCGGCACCTCGAGGGCGAGTTAGAAAACAAACATAACTTAAGAACGATAAATTATTGTACAAAAAAAAATAGATCCAACACCGTAGGCTTCATTCCTTTTTTTGGATGCAAGTCCTGACACACAGACAGGAGTTTGTGTTTCTTGCAAAACGAGAACGAAGACGAAATAAATCGGATCTCTTCCTAGATCTCGTCCTATATTGAAATACAGTGTCGCTTCCTTCCCTTGTGTTCAGGTCCGTGGTGGAGATAATGGAGGAAGGGAGAGAGGGGCAGTAAGAGCACTTTGAGCACAGCAATGCTGGGAGGGATGGGGGAGATAGGGGGGTGAGGAAAGAGAGAGCATTTCAGAGATGTTGACAGAGATGTTCGATGTAACGAGTTAAGGTGGCATAGATGACCGCTGAGGCCTACAGTAATCGTGTCAGTAGGTCCTTCAGCTTTAACCCGAAAAACAATCACTTACCTTGTCAGCTGAGTAAGAATAAAAGTCTCCCTAAAACTTGTACAGTGTGTAAATTCTGTCTGAAAATTCCCTTTCCATTTCTGGATCCCACTGTATTGTTCTGAATGCATGTCAGTGATCCATGTTTTAAAAAAAAGGTGGATAGGTGAAAGCGAACCGCCGGCAAACACTCCTGCGTCCCGGTGAGTGAACTGAGCTGTGATTGGATGAATGGGGGTGACATCACCGGTCTGATTGGTGCCGTCAGGGGAAGAGTGGTGAGGTCAAAGGTCACAAACGGTGGTGGTCTGCACAGCTGCCGGGGAGCAGGTTTCTGTCAGTGATGCATCTTGGCCTGCAGGGAGGGGACAGAGACCAATGAGCTGGCTGTTATTTGTTATTGTTCAAAGGTGGCTTTAATGCGTGGAAAGCAACTTCTAACACTTTTGAAACTACACATAAAACTTAAAACACACATTTAACTTGCCTTTAAACTGGATTTCTTACTGGGGCTGTGTTTGTTTTGCAACTATTGATATTAGGGCTGCCCATGTTGTGTATCTATCTTTTATATATCATCATGTATACCACAAATACAATAGTTTGGGGTCACATGTAAACTTGTCTAATGGTTCCCTGACTTTAGAAAGAGTTCGAAAAAACAACTCTTGACACTTAAATATTTTACGAGAGGTAAAAAGAGAGAGGAAAGAGAAAAATACATCCCTGATTGTGACTACATTTGTCCTTTTGAATTCAGAATGCACAGAAAAGGAGTGATGATTTGTTTTTTAAAGAACTGACGATAATATATACAGATCTTTCTTTCTTTTCTTTTTTCGTAGCCTTATATATTTTAAAACCTAGACTGCAGACATTTTAAAAACGCTAAGAATCTATGCTATCAGCTAAGTGCTAAAGTGAGATTTCCTTTATTGTCAAACTGTAAAAGTGTTTTTACTGCTGATTGTAGATCAGGGGTCGGCCACCATTGGCACACTAGGAATAAGTGGAATAAGTGTGCAAAAATATTTAAATTGTATTTTCGGATCCTGAACGAGGCCGCCGCCAGAGCGCGTCTCCCCGTTACAGAAGGAAGCCATGCACGCAACGCCGCTCTCTTTAACTCCAGCCGACTTGCTGCTGCTTTCCTCCGTGGTGAAGCGATCAGGGGTGCAGAAGTGCTGCCGGAGCGCGCCCGCACTTCACAAATTGCAGTACCCATAAGGAGCCGTACAAATGCCGCAGTCTTTTCGTGGCTGTGTGTTTAGTTGAAAGCCCAGTGGCGATCTGCTCATCTCTCACATGCTACACAGGGGCGGACTGGCCCTGTGTGTTCTGGAGAATCACAGGATGGACGGCCATCATTATTATCATGCCGTTCAAACCAATTATTAAAATGTGTTTAAACGTGTTTAATCTGACAGGTGAAAGGGGTCCACACACTGCTTCCCTGCAGCGAGGCCCCCCCCCCCTCCTGTTGACAGTTCACGAGCGCGTCCAGATTCTATGTTTGCAGCTAAGTGCTAAAGTGAGATTTCCTTTATTGTCAAACTGTTCATTTGTTTTTTCTGTTGATTGTAGATCAACATCTGTATCGTCTATGTAACGGTGCTGTAAATATAGACTCTCCAATAGAAATCAGAGCCTCTCACACCACCTTCCTCTCCTAATGGTGTCAAATAAAGATGTCCGCCCCCTACCTGTCTCGGGGACTCGGGCCCTGAGGCCAGAATTCCCACGCTGTCGCTCCCAAAGAGGCTCTCCATCCCCCCCGGTCTGCTCAGCTTGCTGGCCTTTGCTTTGAAGGAGCTGGGACTCCTCCTCTTCCTGCCCTCTGCCCCCCCGACATAAGGCAAGGGTCCGGAAGGGGGAGCAGGAGGGTGAGGGGGGGCGGAGGGTGACTCCCTGCTGGGGGAGTCGGGTACACTGCCTAGTTCACCACTGGAGACCAGAGGGAAAACTGCCATTAATCAATTCTGCAGTAAAACCATCACAGCACGTTTTACAGCGCTGTAAATATTTTAATATGAAAACTAAACACCTGTCGACACACAGCTGACAGGTGTTTACACAGAGCTTTGCTTTGAATAAAACACCCTCATGGGCTTCCATACATACGGTTGGATTATGTAATTATATATAATTCACTTATTTGTATTGTCTTCATGTGGTCCCTTGAGGATTTAAATGTAACTTAAACCTGCAATTCTCTACTAACTGAAATGTAAATTGTGAAGTGTATTCAATGTTTTCACTTGATAGGCTGGTCAAGCATAATGTACACTGCCTTCTATTCTGTATAGAGAGGTGAAGTCCCTCCCCTTCCGGTGGACCTCCATGGGACCTTATTTCGGAAAAAATATGTATTGAAGTCAATGGAGAGAGAAAGATTATCTTTCCATCCCGTTTGAATTGTGCCACGAATTACACATATGGTGTTTGTCAATTTAAAAGATAATTTTGCAATTCAAAAAAATTCAAATGTGTTGTAAAACTGTGAAGTAACACTTTTTGTGTGAAACCGCTCAATGAACTACATCTCCCATCTCGCACCACACCAAGATGCCCGTCACGTTGGCACATTTCACTTTTTTCTTTCAGAATGAGGCGGAAAGTATTAAAAGAGGTGAAAATCACTCCAAGTCTGGGCACGTTGAGAGCTGTACATACACACAAGGGGAGTTAGTCGGTTCAGTGAGAGCCAGCATGCGGGACCGGGATTCTGGGATTTGTAGTTGCGTATTTTTCATAGTCTTATATTTCAACAGTTTTACGACAAACTGTGACTTCTCTTTTACATGGAAATTATTTTTTTAATTGACAAACATCATGTGTGTAATTCGTGGCACAATTCAAACGGGATCCAAAGATACGTTTTCTCTCTCCATTGACTTCAATGCATACTTTTTCCAAAATAAGGTCCCACGAGTCGGAAGTAGATGGGCGGGACTTAGCCACTCTATATATTTATATTTCTCATTCGATATTAAACTCTATATCCTTCATGTACTGTATATATTGAATATGTTGCATATATGTTTATCTTTACTGTTGTATTTGTATTCAATTGTATTTGCCTGTAATGCCTTATTTAGGCTGATGTGACGAAACAATGTCCCAAATTGGGATCGATATAATACAGTCTTGCACTAATGTACATTTTCACCGATTTTGAAGTGACTGTTATTTTGTATATATTGATTGTTGTGCTTTTATGTATGTCTTAATGTGTGCAAATGTATACATGTGTCTCGTGATTAACATATTTTTATATATATTTGTATTTTTGACAGTATTTCGATCTCTCTGCTTGTTCACACAAACTGAAAGATTGAGAATAAAGTTGACTTTGACTTTGATATCTTATGTCTATGCTCATGCTAAGCGTTGCACCCACCTGCTGTGTGAGTTGTAGCTTTCCGACCCGTCGTCTCTGGAGAGCCAGTCCTCCCCTCCGCTCCACATCCCCCCCCGACCGAGTCCCTTCTTCCTCCCAGCTGCAGACGCCCCTGAACTTTGTAACGTTGGATGATGGCTGCTGCCGTTCCTCCTCAGATTATCCACAGTGGGGAAAAAGGAGGAGGCGTTTTTCCTCCTCTTAGCTCCAGAGTCCTCCGTGTCTTTGGATGAGCGGGGGGGGGGCTTTATGCGTGCCGTTACGGGCTCTGACGGGAGCGACTCGGAGGCTGAGCGCTCCGACTGTGGACGCAGACGGAGGGATGTGGGAGAGGGAGGAGAGGGGAGGAAGAGGGACGGAGGAGGGAGACGGCTGTGAAGAGACGGGGGAGGAGAGGGAGAGGAGGCTCTCAGGAGCGGGAGGCACCTTCCTGAAACTGGAGGAGGACACACCAATAAAGCTGAGCATTCACAACATAAATAATAAGGTAATGAGACTTAGATCCTAAACGTTAATCAATGTGTGGGATTTTATTTAACATTTGATTTCTGTTTTATGCATTTCCAGCTAATCACGCATCTTTTTCTCATGATTTTGTCTAAAAACATAAATGATTCCTTTCCCTATTCTTGTTTCATGATTCCTTTACAAACACATCTTTTCCCTTTTTGTATCTGTGTTGCTCTCCCTGATGCCCTTTACCTTAAATTAACTGGCTTTTTAAAATTTCATTTACAAAAAACACTGCGCAGTAGGGCTGCACGATATTGAAAAAAACTGACATTGCGATATTTTTTTTCCCTGCGATATATATTGCGTTTTTTTTAACTATATTTAACCGGATGAAGGATTTTAGTCACGGACGCCTGGATCTTAACTGGTTGACTCATCATACCTTAAGTCATGATCTAACATGTCATGATAATGCAGGTTGCTTACCCTCAAATAAGGGGGTTCATCTGTGAAGAAGAGAAGAACCTTTTTGGATCCAAAATAGTTCCAGATGGCAGATGTTGCTTTTCTTTTTGGAAGTAAATCTTTATTCTCGCCGGTATTGTCCTCCTGTGCTTCGCTCATTTTTTACCGGTGTTTTGATGGTCTGAAAACTAGCGGGTGTTATGGAAATAATTGTCATAGACGCCAAGATGTGACATACAGGACAAACCTTGATGTCTGTTTACCTCCTTTAAGGACACAGGCTGCTTAGCCAATAATGTTATTGTTCCCATTCTGTGACCGGTCAATACTGGGTCACAGATGGTCTGTGTTGTGGGTACACTGGGACACTTCCTTCTCTGTATTTGTGGACTCCAAGGTGAAATCTTCGAGGTCATAAGTGTCCGACGCAAGTAGCTCAGTGTTCCCACACTGTTTAGGCTATCTTCTCAAATATGTTGTTTACTCTCTGCGAAACCAGTTAGATGGGCTGGCAAGAGAGAGGCTCTCCAGAATTGACGTGGCAACTCTACCGTGAAGTCAGAACCTCTGACTCTTGGACTTGTGATGTGAATCCTCCGGCCGTTAACTCCAAATAAACCACCAGTGTTTGACATCAAAGCTACTGCTCTTCCCGTGTCTCCTTTCTGAGTCGGTGACTCCCACAGCATAGCTACACAGAAGTTTCCTCTACAGCGGGGCGGGGCCTGCTGTGATCTGATCAAGAATGATTGTGATTGGTGGTTTGCTGTGCATGCAGAGCCGTGTGTCACTCACTCAAGCACCCCTGACATGAGAGCTGTGCAAGTTTTCCTTTTGTAGCAAGCATCAAAATAATTGTAACATGACGTGTTTGAGTTAATTTGCCTGCTTTTAATTGAACTATTCACATCTTAAACTGCACTGTAACTTTTATCCATGTATTTTTTCTTTTAATGTTTCTTTTATTAGCTTTTCTTTTTAATGACTGATTTTAAATGCCATTTTCTTAATGTCTTTCATTTTTTGTAAAGCACTTTGAATTGCCTTGTGTTGAAAAGTGCTATATAAATAAACTTGCCTTGCCTTGCCTTACTTAATATCGCACGTCCCTGCGATGTGAATATCGCGGTTATCGCCATGACACGATATATCGTTCAGCCCTACTGCACAGAACATATTTTAATTGTTTTTTTTACCTTCTTATTAAAAGTTAGCTTACACAATATTTATATTTGGTAAATAAGACAAATCCAGGCAGAGCGATAACCAATAACAATAGAACTGTTGTCAACATGTTTTGTTAATCCTCCCCAAACTAAGTAAAGCTTAATAACCAGAGCAAGCACCGTCAGCATAGTATAAATATATATAGATCGGATTTGAGTACTTTCAACATGTACAAAATATAAAGTAAGAAAACAAAACAGGAATAAGATACTTAATATCCAAAAGTTCAAATTCAGGTAACACCATTTTTCTAATGAGTAAAAATGTATAAATCATGGCCTCGATATATTTTTTTCTGCGTTGAGCTCCACCCTGACTCAATATAAAATCTCTGCACAATCGATATTAACGTTCCTGTAACGCTCACCTCCACATATGTGCGTTGAGGTGTTTCTCCACGCTGTTCTGCAGCGCCAGCCTCATGCGGTCCCATCGCCTGTCGAACACGTAGTGACCCCGTCCCATGAGCCTGCTGCTGAACACGCAGTACTGCAGGGAGAGAGAGAGGGAGGGTATTAGGATGGGTGAGAAGTGGGGAAGATAAGAGCACGCAGAGATACAAAGGGAGTAGAGAGGAAGAGGAAGGAATTAAGAGGTGGGTAGAAGGAGCGAAAAAGAACAGATGACCAACACGAGTAATACTATCATCTAGAGCAGGGGTAGCCAACACGGTGCCCGCGGACACTTAGTCGCCCGCAGGGCATGTTCTAAAAATAAGCTCGCCAAGCAAATCCAAAATGTAAAAAATACACAAAACAAAAAAGGAAATGTAATTAAAAGAATCTACCCTATGCATAAACGAAACCTCAATCATAGCGAACTCTATCTACTTACTACAGCTCTATATCTATCCAACACCCCTCCTCCCCCACCCCCACAATGAATATCGACTAATCACGTTCTTGCTTGATTTGCGGGACCAGCGTTGCAGTCGGGAAGAAAAGCAATGTGGAGCGGCACCGCATGGCGTAATTTCCACTGGGGACAGGGGGGACATGTCCTCATGACATGTTACTTGTTAGACGCTTTTATCCACAGCGACTTACATACTCAATACTGTGGGCAATCCCCACAGGAGCAATTTGGGGTGAAGTGTCTCAGGGACACAACGACATGCTGACTGCAGTGGGGTTTGAACCTGTGAACCCCTGATCCGAACACCAACGCACAACCCACTGCGCTACACGCCTCCTCATGTTCCCCCCCCACTTTTCGAAATCCCGTTTGTGTCCCCCCCAGTTTACAAATATGTTTATTATTATTTTTTAACGCGAGCCGTCATCGCCACGGAGGAGCACACAGCCTGAGCGAGGAGGAGAGAGAGAGAGAGAGAGAGAGAGAGAGAGAGAGAGAGAGACAGAGAGACAGACACCTTTATCTATTTAATATAGATGTAAAAAATAAAGTAAGAAATCATTCCAATGTGTAGGCTACTATAGGACAGTAAAAAATACAGTTTGAAAGGGGAGTGATTAGTAAAATATGCATAAATAAAAAGAAAGAATGCTAACTAGGTAACATAAGATAATAATAAACCAGTTTAAATGTTTGTTATTGGTTGTGATCATATTCCAAAGATGTTTGGATTATTGAAAAGTATACAGCTCCCTTTCATCTGAGTGTTGAGAGCTGTATCCATACATTCATGTTGTGCTCAAAGTGCACCAGATTGATGCTTTTCACTTCAACATTAAAACAAAACTCTTCCCGGGGTTGTATGCCCCCGGACCCCCCTAGAGGAGGTGAGGTCCACCCCCAAATAAAGCAGGTTAAAATAATTAAATTGAATACATGTTCTTTTAGTAAACACTGAAAACTGGGTCCCACAGACCCAAACAACACACAAAGGTCAAAGGTAAGCATATCATAATGTTAAAACGTGCTAGAAGTAACTCACGACTTGTTTTATTTTTTGAAAGTAGTAGACCCCTGCTCTACACCAATACACTTAAATCATCTACTCGTCAGGATAATATTACAGAATCACTGAATCTTTAAAGGCGCCCTATTCTGCTCCTATCAGGTTCATATCAGTTTTTAGTGACATGTCTCCCTTTAACCTGTTGAACCCCATCCCTGTTTTTCAGGTCTCAGGCTCGAAAATGACATTCCCAGAACAAATGAGCATATCTTCCCTTCTAAAAGGGTTAAATTAATAATCTTTTTTCTCAAAGTAATGATAAACCTGTGAGTTGGATGTAGAAAAGTCAGAATCAATATAGAATTTTTTTATTTTAAAGAAAATTTAGATTGAACATAGTAAAAAACTGTAGATTATAGCGTCCGTCCTAAATTCTTTTTTACTTACAGTGAAAACTAACCTTTAATGATGGGATGGTAGACTACAAGCTTTAGGAATCCAAAGTACAACATATAATAAGTACCCTGTATCAAGATTGATGCAAAACAAGTGACATTTGACCTTTTTAGAGAGGTTTAGCAAAAAAAAAAACACTTCTGGGGTCATTTGTGTGGATTTTCCATATCTCTGGCCCCCCTTGGTCGATTTTGCTGATTGACATCTCTTTCTAACCGTCAGAGCCAATGGGATCGAGGGAAAGTTCCACACACACAGGTTACCAAATAAGGAGTGAGAGTGACGCGTAGCCAAAACCGGAGTTGTGACACACTCTGGTGGCTACCATTAGCAGCTAATTTTTATTGAATTATGGATTATCAATACTTTTTTCAAAGTGACAGACACATTGGATTAACCTATGGATTAACCTTCAGCTGCGTTTTTTCTCGTTTTAATGCCATTGAACACGACTTTTGATCAGAATAACAGCCAAAGTGAGCATATCTCCGTGTTTTTCTACCTAAAGAGAAAGTTCCCATCGGCAAAAACACGTGGGTTTGCTGTCCTGGCTCCAAGATGGTGGAATGAGCTCCCCATTGACATCAGGACAGGCAGATAGCTTACACACCTTCCGGCGCAGACTGAAAACTCATCTCTTTCGACTCCACTTCGAGCGATAGAACTATTAACGAAGCACTTATATACTAATAAAGGACTGGCTTATCTAAAGCCAGTTGAGTAGCACTTGAAATGTTTGGCTCTATGAAACCTGATGTACTTATATGATTCTGTTTTCTTCAAGGTTGTGTCTTCCTGGTCGAATGTACTTATTGTAAGTCGCTTTGGACAAAAGCGTCAGCTAAATGCAATGTAATGTAATGTAAAGCTACTCGTGTGTTGTCTGTATTTGCTTCCCCTGTCACGAGTTCAGATCGCTCAGTGATGATCCTTATAGTTCTATAATCTGTGGACTCTCAGGATGTTAGCTAAACTTGTTTGTGTGCTAGAGTTCTGTGCAAACGGCCTTAAGATTTTTTTCACTCGTGGCTAATTCAGAGGCTCAGCGTTAACTTTTGTGGGGTTTTTTGCAAAAAAAAAAGATCAGTTAGCTGAGTTTCTTCCCGTTACATAGATATGAAACATTCATAGTTTATTAAATATTCAGAAGCCCTCAGACCCTGTTTCCTGCAAATGATGCGTATTTCAGCCCGGGGGCGGGTCGATGGGGTTCAACAGGTTAATGTTCAAAAAGGTCTTTATTTTTCGCTGCAGCACCTCTTTTCACCCTCTGTCTGAAACCAGAACCCAGTCTGCCCTGATTGGTTAGCTGGACGGCTCTGTTGTGATTGGACAACCGCTTTGAGATATCCTCACGTACAATCTGACGGAGCACAGTCAGTTTGTTAAACAGGGCTTCTTTACACTTTTCTAACTGAAGAAAGCAAGGAACTTAAATGTACATTTTTATATAGAATATATTATGAATGTGTCCTTAGGTGCTTTGAAAGGCGCCTCTAAATAGAATTAATTAATATTATTATTATTATTATCATCAGTATCAGCGTTTCGCTTATAAAAACTAAAAAAGTCCAAATACATACATTACCATCATGGCCGCTTTTTAAACTGCTCAACCAAAATAGCGTACAAACGTTGATAAAAGCAAAAACATGGGCCTGAAAACGACAAAAGTATAGCAGACTCTGTGGAGTAATAATTGTAGACATTGCCTACAATTAAGATATGTAATGCCCCAATGTTATGGACTATAACCATGTGTGCTGGTGCAGCATTAGAAGTGATATTATTTACCCGTAAAGGCTGTGGGTGGCGATGGGAGGAGTGAGAGGCAGATCTGTCTCCGTCCTCTGGGGTCTCCGCGTCGCCCTCATCACTCGAGAGACGCCCGCCGTCTCTGAGGGGGGACGGCTGTGGGGGGGGGGGGCAGAGGGCTGGAGGTGGAGCCTGGGACCCTAGGGGGGAACATGTGAGAATACATATGTTTAAATGTTTTTTGTTGTCATGTATTGTGTCCATGTTGATGTTACACATGGAGCTGCTGAGATGCAAGTCAAATTTCAGACTCGATCTGACCTATAAAGTATTATCGTATCGTATGGGGGAGATGATTGAGGGGGAGACCGAGGAAAAAGGAAAAGAGAGCAATTTTATAGTAAGGGTTGAGAAGGCAAAAATGTAATTGGAAGGAAGAGGAAGTGAAAGACAAGAAAGTGATGGATGCAAACTGAAAAAGTGATTTGGCAGAAAAGAGTTTTAGTGAAAAAAGGAAAACAAATAAACACTAATGAACTAACAGTGTGTTAAAGGTCCCATGTCATGCTTTTCTGGTTATCACCCGTCCCCTTATGTGTTATGAAGGTTTTTCTGCATGTAAACGGTCTGCAGAGTCACAAACCCTCAAAGTACACCCTGTAGCGAGTAAAACTGTAACACAGAGAAGACCAAGTGACGTAACGACGACCCAATGGACCAAATGGTCAAAATGGACCAATCTGCGGAGCCGTTACGTTAAGACTTCCTCACACACACTCAATCTTTTCTCAGCTGCAGCTCCGCGGATTTCTCAGCCTGAGACGGCGGGACGCGGCGAGGCTGTGTGTGTGTGCTCGGGCTGGGTTTCGCTGTCTCGCCGCCCCCACGCAGCAACTAGGAAACCACACCAGTAAGACAGCTCACACTGTCCGCCCCTCGCAGCAGCGAGCCTCGCAACGTCCCGCCAACCCAGACCCCACGCAGCATTCTCATCTGTTTGTCATTACTGGTGTCATTTTCTGGTTGCAAACGCCATTGTAACACACAATCACTGATGTTCCGTTGTAACGGTGGTGGACTCATCAGAACAGAGTGGGCGAGCTGACCAATCAGACACTGGGCTCACAGGGAGGGGGGGGCAGGAGCTCCAACAAGGCGTGTAGGACAGAGTGAATACACATACTATACAGAGATGCTGTGAGAAACCAATGTGAGTTTGGAACATTGAACAATGTAAATCTATTCTAGTCGACCTCAACAATGGAGTTATGATCAGTAGAAATAGCCATGACCAGGGACCTTTAAAGTCATTCTTCAATCTTTTCTGCAGTGATAAAATGAACTTCCTCTTCTTCATGTTATGTGCAGAGAAAGAGGAAATGAGTTTTACATGGGCAGATAATATTGTTGTTTTTCTCGCACTGTTGTTTACAGCATCCCCTGGTGGGAAGAAACTAACTGGCTAGGATTTCACATTTCAGGCCCAGTACAACTCTAGCAGTGAAAAAGGAAATAAAAGTTGAACGAACAGTAAAAATCGTAAATAACTGTCAGCTAAAACGTAAATAAAACTTAATAAATAATAAGGTAATGAGACTTTTCTTTCAAAGTACAGATTACATTAAAAAGTTGTCTTAAAGAACGTAAAGATTAATAAAAATACATCAGTTGGAAAACAAGAAAATGGTTCAACTTGATGCAACTGTAATACATATTTAAAAGGAAGCAAATAATAGGCCTAGTTTTTTATTATTATAAACAACTAAATATCCAAATGTGGAATTTAGTTACAAATATATCTGTAGTTTAGCGTCAACTAGTTTCAGCTCTGAAATATTTTACTTTGTAAGCATGTTTTTATGGATTTATGTGGTTTAGATTTCCCTCTTTGTAAATAGATTCACAGGTTTCCACTTATTCCCCTCATTGTGATAAATAATAGACACATAGATCATCTGATGTATGATGATTTTATGTCTACACGTGCACATGTAATACTATGTGTGTGAACATCGTACCTGGGTATGTGTGCGTTAGCCAGCCGCAGCTTCAGCATGGACAGCGTGCGTCCGTTAGTGCAGTGCGGCCTGCTGGGAGATGCGGTCTCCTGTGGCGTGACGCTTCCTTCCTTCCTTCCCTGCGATGCGTCCTTCTCCTTCGCTGCCTGGGTCAGCTTGGTCCGCCCTTTGTGTTCGGCCAGAAGGACGTCAAAGTGTTTCTCTCGGCCTGAGACGGCTCTGCGGTGTGTGAGCGAGTGAGTCTGTGGAGGACACACACACAGAGAGGTTCTTTTCATACCTGGTGTTTAATAAGCACCGACAACAGATTTCACCTTATTTCCACGGAGACTTTGGTAATGAAAGAACTGATCTGAGGGGCTCGTATCATGGCTCTTTCCATAATCTCCTCACCATGCTGCTGCCCATGTCACACAGGACTAGCTCGGGTAAATACGGTCGGTGCGTGGCGAGCCTGTCCACCCTTCCAACTCATTTGGAAAGCAACCAGCTAACAAACATTTGGTTTTCCAGCGATGCTCCAAAGGATGTGTGTGTGTGTGTGGATGGTGACATACTGGAGGTAGTTTCTTTGCTTTTGGAAGACATTTTTGTTCTTGTACTCACTCTAAGATAATATTGAGGCATCTTGAAATGCCTTAAGACCTAACAAGTGCATCTAATACCTTCAGAAATATTCCAAATAACAATCTTTGATTCATTTAGCAGCTGCTCGGGAGAAATATACCTTTTAAAAACACATGTAATCTGAGATCAAACAGTAACAGGTGTTTTTTTTAGTGCTGTCAATCGATCATGATTAATCAGTTACTAGTGTTTACTAGTTTTTTGGGGAGGGATAAAACAAATACATGTGTGATCTTGTAATAAAGAAATGAATGATAAACTGGTAAGAGAAATATGATAACATGAAATCTGAACTCTTGGCATGAAGTCTGACACTTGAAAGATGAAGCACAGGGGGAAACTTAAAAGGGAAACTTCTATATTTTTCACCTGGACCGTATTTTCCATTTTGCCTGCTACGGTCTCTTTCGCTTAATACTGGACCTATAATTCAAAAATGTACATAAACTACTTGGATATTATTTGAGATTACATTCATGAATAAGGGAAAAAAGACAAATCGATCAAAAAATAAGATACTCTCTGAGATTAAAGAAGTACATTTAGGGGAAAAACTCAGAAATTAGCAAGAAAATAAACATTTTCTTGCTGTTTTTTAAAATTGTAAATACATCTGATTAATCCCAGAGATGTGAGATATTTGTATTCGTCTCCATTTGACACAAAACACAGGAAATGATAGTCCAGGTTGAACCAAAGTTTCCTTTTAAGACAGATTTAAGACACTCCTAGCCTCATAGGAGTAGTTAGGAGTAACTCCCTAATCTAAAATCATGTGTAAGAGCAGTTAAAGTTACAATCCTTTTGGGGAACACCACTTAAGCTTTGGAAGGTTCATAAAATATATCAAACGATCATGTCAACATAAACACTCTTTTGGGAAATAGGTCCCTTTCGTGAAATTGTGATCCAAGTGTAAATAAAGACGGCAACGATAAAATACAAACAACAATTAAGAAAACATGATTATTCTCAGCAGCCACTCTGAGAGAAAACATCCTCACACTACCCCGATAAAGTGATTAGTCAAGCTTGCTTACTCGCTAGGAGTAATTAAAGGGCCGTAAAAAGAGGGTTTTATAGCTGGAAGATGTTGTAGCCTCATCCGACATCTATAATTACCACATCAGGGGGAGTGTGGGCACTGTAAGGCCTCAGCACCCTGAATTAACTGAGACACTGACGGGGTCTGTGTGTGTGTGTGTGTGTGTGTGGGGGGGGGTCCTAATGGAGAAGGGATGATAGTAGACCCTTTAATATTTTTACCCTCATAAATAAACAAAGCTTTTTTCCTGGTCACATGGTCTTAGACAGGAAGCAGTCAGAAATGTGTATGTGTATGTATGCGTGTGTGTGAGTTACCTTGCAGGTGAGAGACCGGGTACAGGGTCGCTTAGTCTCAGGATCCTGCACTCCACAGTGTTTGTTAGGATCAAAAACTCTGCCTGTGACACACACACACACACACACACACACACACACACACACACACACACACACACACACACACACACACACACACACACACACACACACACACACACACACACACACACACACACACACACACACACACACACACACACACACACACACACACACACACACACACACACACACACACACACACACACACACACACACACACACACACACACACCACACACACACACACACACAACACACACACACACACACACACACACACACACACACCACACACACACACACACACACACACACATCACACACACACACACACACACACACACACACACACACACACACACACACACACACACAGAGAGAGAATTTTAAACAGCACATGTAATGTAAAAATAATGCAATGAGACATTTAAAAATGTTTATAATTGTATTAGCATGTTACTAACATTTATGTTGTCTTTTGTATTTTTATAAAAGTATCTTAGGAAAACGGTTGAACTGAATATAAAAGACAGGAAAAAGGATTGTGGTTGTCCATGCTTCCTCTGTTGCCCTCAAGCCTCTCAGGTTCGGGCAAACTTTGAATACAGGCCAAAAAACCCTTAAGAACTTGACGATCTTAAAATATGATTTAAGTGATGATATTATTCAATTATTGCCGGTAAAAACGACACGAAAAAACTTGAACTGTCTGATTAAGCAGCGCATCTACATAATGCGATACAGCAGATGGCAGGATGCACCTTGAAAAGACGTTTGCATCCGGCAATAAACACAGAGAGGAAGAACAAAAGCTGAGAGTAACATTTTCAGAGGATAACAACTCAACATCAATTATAATATATTATCTTATATGTGATTAACTTAAAAAAACATTTGAAAATCGATGTTTTTGTTGTTAACATATTGATGCCAGAAAGGTTGGGATAGGTCAGAGCTTAGGCATATACAATCATCCATCTTTGCTCACTACTTCCTAGTCCTCAGGTGTGCATAAACTACAGGTTATGAGCATCTTATGAAAATTGAAACAACGTGAAATTATCATTTATCTCGTAAAAGAAGCAGGTAATTACAGAAACAGGCTAAAAAATATATCATGTCTTTACTAAAAGTCATCATTGAGTCATTTCTTGTCTCCCTCTTTCCAGAATCAAATCACATGATCTGGTAGTAGGAGCCTCACTGTACCGAGTGCTCTTCCTCTTCAATCTGGCTTTTAATGTGTGATTGTTTTTGTATTATTTGACTTTAACTTTAACTATATATTTATTTGTTGTTTTATTTTATCTTCACTATATCTGTAAAGCGTCTTTGAGCACCTGTAAAAGCGCTAACAAATTAAATCTATTATTATTATTATTAAATTAGTCTCTCCTGAAAAATGTGTCAATAAGACCTTCCTTTTTGATAAAGCTTATAGTTAGGGCTGATTAGATTCAGCCCCTAGTTTTGCTGCTATAGGCTTAGACTGTCGGGGGACACCTTACTTCTTCCTTCTCTCTGTCTGTACCTGTGTACTCTCATGTTCCCAATAACCCAGCTTCCCCCACATTTCTTTTTGGTGCCTATCTACGCTGAGTCCTGAGTCCTGATCTGAGTCCTGGACGTCGAGTCGTGGCTGAACCTGTCACTGTGGTCCTGCCTGACTTTCACCATACTACTTCCCTGATGGCTCCCACAGGATTGTTGACATCCTCGTGGATTCATCTTCTTATTATAGACACACGCATTTCCAAATATTTGTACTACCTATGCTGTCAAATGTATTATCTTTTCGATTTACACACGGCATCTATTGCACGTCTGTCCGTCCTGGGAGAGGGATCCCTCCTCTGTTGCTCTCCCTGAGGTTTCTCCCATGTTCCCTTTAAACTGTAGGTTTTCTCCGGAAGTGTTTCCTTGTACGATGTGAGGGTCTAAGGACAGAGCGTGTCGTATTGTCATACTGATATTCTGTACACACTGTGAAAACCACTGAGACAAATGTAACATTTGTGATATTGGGCTATATAAATAAACATTGATTGATTGATTGAAGTCACATTTTCCTTTGTTTATTCAAATGATCTAAGACTTTTTCCTACTCCTAGTCTCTGTGATTTTAATTGTCGTTTTCTACCGCAAATTCAAGCGGACTAGAGCCAGTGAAAAACGATCCTGTAAGAAATCCTTGGCCTCCAGTTTTGCTGCTTACAGCTTTCCTCAAAAACCGCTCATCCAAACAACTTCACACTGAGATTCTTGGAGTCGTCAGCAGAGTGTTCAGTGGACCGGATGATCGCTTACGGACTAAACTGAAGGACATAGATACATATTTACTCAGAGACACTCTTTGCCTTTTAGTGTGAAGTGTACAGAACCCGCAAGCTGTGACAAATGGTTTGTGACAGGACGTACTGGCAGCCGGACAGGAGTCAACAGTGACGGACAGCCACAGGAAGCTCTTTAATGAACAGAAAACGCACTTTGAGGATGAAATGTAGCCCTTAACTTTAGGACTGTTGTCAGTTTAACGCAAACTTCTCTGGTGTTTATTGACTCTTCCTAAGACAAATGAAGCTCAGCGTAAGTTCAACCAGGAAGACCGTCTATTCACTATTCCTACGTAACTACTCTCTCTCCTCTCAATACGTGATCGGGGGCGTCACTCTCCAGCTTAACCAATCACTTCGCTCTATTCCCAAGAGCCTATCATAGCGCTCTGCCAAACCTTTTAAATCTGCTCTCCCCCCTCTGTCATCTGTCATTTCAGGTGACTCTACGCAACCCCCCTCCACCCCTGTTCACCTCCTGTCCCTCTGAATCCAGGGTCAAGCTAAGCCACACCCCTTCAGACCGAACCCAACTATGCATTCACCACCACCAGTGTCTAGACCCCAGGGGGGGTTCATCGGATCGGTTCTACCCTCCCGAATGATACTCCTGCACAACGGGGCCTAATCGCCAAAATCACCTCAGAGGTTACAGAAGTAAAAGTAAGATGATTATGGAACATTCTTACAATGGATTTTCTCAGTCATGAACACTATTTTCTGCCAAAGTTAACGATGGAGTTTTGGTTATTATTTCACAAAATAGATTTTGATCCATGTGCAGGATTCAGTAGATTGTCTGTCAATCAAATCTGATCAAAACTAAACCGCACTGTGATATGTAAGGCAGGTCAAAGTTGATCCATGAAGTAGCTTTACCAAGTGTTTACAACCAACTCGTTTTGAACATGTTTGAACCAAATCATTGATTAAAGGGGGCCATATTTAGCTTTTTGGAGTTTTCCCTTTCCTGAAATTTGGGTTTCTACAGCGGGAGTTTCTCTCCCACACAAAGGTACAAAATATGAACCTGAAAATGAGGATAATAGGTCCTCTTTAAAACACGTTGATTGTTTCAATTGACTTTTTTGTCCTTTCCTTTCAGCAATGAAGATATCGTACAAATAGCTGAATACAAGAGTGACAGACTCAAAATGCAAAACGAAATTAAAGCATTAAAAGCTTCAAAATTAACTTCAATTTTAATATCACTACTACTATTAATATCACCATGTTGTTTTATGAGTTGTCTATGCTGATACCAACAGCTTTTGGTAGACCTTTGTTGCCCGACACTAACTATCGACAGCCTCCAGTCAGCAGGTTATCTTAAACGTGTCACTGTCAGTGTAATCTAGTGCTGGCCTTTGCTATAATCCCTGTAATCTCTCTGCGACAGCCCCGATGCATGCGGGTTGACAGACTGCTAATTTGCAGGAACAACCACGTAAACAAACTCACATGCTGCTCACTAACAAGTTTACAAACACTTAAGAAGGAACAAGAGAGAGAGGAAGTATGGTGGTGAGACGCCAGGCTGAAGGAGATGAGAAAGTGAAACCAAACAGAAAAGCAGCAGAAGATGACGAGTGAGAAACAAGACGTTGATGAAAGGAGAGAAAATGCCAACAGAGCGAAGGAGTGTGTGTGAAAGGAAAACAAATGTGGTCGAGGTGGGAGGTGGAGAGTGAGACGATGAAAAAAAGATATAGAGGCGCAGGAGGTGGGGGAAATCTCTCAAGAACACGAGCAGCTTTTTGGCAGCGGGAGTGAATTAGAGGGTGTACATCACAGGAGCACAGCGACAGAGGGAAGAGGGAAGATGAGGAGAACATGACAGCGAAGACCTGAAGCATCCATCAAAAGTGTTTTAACTTCATTGATACACACGTTTACTTGATGACCACTAGATGTGCTTAAAAAGGACATTTTTGAGAGTCAAAATGAGAAGAAAAAAAAGCCGTTAAAACTTAAGGAAGGCATCTAACCCTTTCCAAAACACACAGTCTAACCCCCCGGCTGTGAGTTTGTGAAAGCATATAAACCAGCGTTTCCGCCAGGGGGGCGTCTGGTCGTCATGTGACGCCATTATTCAGCTCGGAACGCCCTAAACTCGAGCCGCCGGGGTCCAAAAAAATTAATAATTCGAGAGAAGATCGAGAGTTTTTATCGTTTGAAATGACGAAAAGGAAAAAGGACAAGGACATCCCTCTGTTGGAGGGGCAAAGGGATTCTTTTCGGAGTATTGAAGATCGTTTCCCCCCCCCCCTCGCTCTCCGGGTGGTCGCCCTCTCAGCCCTGGTCTGCCAGAAACACTGATATAAACCCTAAAAGTGTAATTCAGAGTTTGCCTTTAAAAGTAAAGATTTGTTTATTCCCTCTCCTCGTCGTCGTTTTTGTTTTGTGGTTTTTATTACGATTTATTTTTGTGTCCTATATCTTGTGGTATTGTATCAGCTTGTAACTGAAATAAAAGATTGAAAGCAACATTTAAAGAATCAGTTTTGTGACTCAAGGTCAAGAAATCCAGATGACAAACCAGCTGGCATGAAAAGTATTCAATTATTAAACGCTCCGCATTTCTTCTCCAAGTTTAGACCACATTGCACAAATTCATCAGAAAAGTTAAGGTGCTAAAAAACTTGGAATATTACAGGTATATGTATGAAAGTAAAACAAAACTGCAACTCCATGCAAAAGGATTTAACCAGACGTTTTTTTAAGTACTGACCTGAAAGTCTCTTTTGCGACCTGGAAGGAGTCTTCGTCCCATTTTGCTGCTTCTTCTCCAACAGCGACGTCACAGGCAGAGCGGCAGAGCGTTGGGAAGGGGCCGGTGAGGGGGGGGGTTTACGATCCAGAGGGGAAGGAGAGGGGGTCGAGGGCAGCCGTCTGTCCAGAGGAGAGCGAGCCGGACTGGGCCGTCTGTCCGCAGAGGAGGATGGAGAGGGGGTGGAGCGGGGGGTGGGCGGCCCGCGACCGTTTGTGAGCTTCTCGCTGGACCGCTGGGAGGCCGGGGGAGGGAGGTGTGAGGGGGAGGAAGAGGAGGAAGAGGAGGAGGTGAGGCGCACATGTGATGAAGGGTCGCCCCGGCTGAGGCAGGGGATCTTCTCCAGGCTCACCACTGGGAGGGAGACACTGCAGACGGGAAGAGAGGAGTTAACACCTGGGCGGCCCTCCACCAAAGAGTTTAGTCTAGTCCAGGTTGACTTGTTTAGCTGACTATAAGGGGTCAAGTTCAAACACTCTAAAGCCAAATGTTTTTGAAGAAGCATAAGCATCATGACACAAGAACCCTGAATAATTGTGGATGTAAAAATAAGAAGTATGTGCCCACCATGTCTTGTTCCGCGCCCCCTTCGGTGGGTAGAGGGCCAGAGGCGCCTTGCTGAAGCGTGAGTGAGGGTACTCTTTGGGGACCCTGAAGGCCAGCGTGCCCCCGGGACTTGGCACCACAGTGGGGGTCACTGCAGGTGCTTTTGGCTTCATGGGGACCAGGGGGGTCCTGGAGGGGGAGGGGGAGCTGTGGCGCTTCTCTGGAAGGTAAGGTAAGGTACGTTTAGTTATATTGCACATGTTCAGACACAGAGGCAATTCGAAGTGCTTCGTCATTAACACTTAATAAGAAGACAACAGAAAGGAACACAATAAATAACTCCATGGAATAACAGATTCATAAAAACCATGCATAAAAGAGATACAGAATAGTTTAACAAAAACATTGTAAATACGGTAGGTGCTAAAACAAGTTAAAATACTTCTGGGTAAGCAGCTGAAAAAAGTCGTGTTTTTAGCCTCGACTTAAAAGAACTCAGCGTTGGTGAACACCTCAGGCTTTCTGGAAGTTTGTTCCACAAGTGTGTTTGGTTCTGAGCCCCCGATGATCTCACAGCTCTGGGGGGCTCGTAACAGAAGCATTTCAGACACATATTGGGGTACCAAACCATTTAATGCTTTATAAGTTAGCAATACAATTTTAAAGTTGATTCTGTAAGCTACTGGTAGCCAGTGCAGAGATCTAAGAACTGGGGTGATGTGTTGAACACTGTTTTTAACAAAGAAATGTGTGAGGTCACATAGATGTGTAACAGTAACACAGACTCTGCTTTGATCAAGGTCATGTATCGCTAGCAGGGAGGCACTGATTGTGACATTCTGGGCCTGTACTGATGTTTTAAATTAAAATATGACCAACAGCCAAGGTTTTATAATTGCTAGTAGCTACTTCTGTGGATCTGGGTACTTTTAAAAAATAAATAAAATCTGATTAGCATCCAATCAGCACCTGTAGGGCAACTTCTTTATTTCTGCCAGATGGAATTGCTGTAACACAGAGGAGACAAATCTGTGCCAAAGACTTGCCACTAAAAAATTATTACAAATCAATTGAGTGAACTTCTCTCTACTCTCTAATTAGCATCCTGCCTGACACCATCTGAAGTGTCCATGTGTGATTAGTGCCACCCAATCTGTTATTGTGCGAAAGTTCAAACAAGAACCAGCTATTATAAACACATTTTGACCCAGATCTGATCAGAACACACAGGGGAAAGGATGCAGGAACAAGGGGGCAAAGAGGGGAATCAATCCCAAGGGTGTAGGGGGGGAGAATGAGAGGAGAGGAGAAGTAGAGGGGCTCACACTTACGGTTCTTGCTATGCATGTCTTTGTGGGAGAAGGGTGGGGAGGAAATGAGGGGGAGTGGTCCAGGACTGTCTGTCTCTCTCTGACTGTCTCACAGGGAAACTACACCCCAGCTACCTGAATAAAGACAAAGGGGGAAGACACGTCATAAACACACAAGGAGGTGAGGAAAACAGTGTTTTCATTTGCTGACAAAAGTGTGAATTTCAAATGATATGTACCATTTAGCTCCAACATGTGCACAGTCCTACGTTGGTGATTGTTATCCAGCAGCTAGGTAAATAATGAGACCTGCCCTTGTGGTTGGCTGCATTTCCAGTCTGCTGATACTATGCAAAACAGACCAGAGCGTGAGATGCTATAATACACCTCTGAAAAGCAGGTAGACTATGCTAAATGTCCCTATGAAGATCTCCTGGTAGCTATTTCTACCCGGGTCATTAATATTAGCCTTGGAAAAATACAATAAATACACATTCCCGGATAAATTAACACAAGTATGCGACTGCCCTAGTGTGCAGAGACACGTAATTACATAGCACATGCCTGAATCCGTGCATACAGCAACAGCAATTTAACCGAGCACATCAATCCACATGGATATCCCTGAGGAAGACATGGGAGGAAGACTGTGAAGAAGCAAGGCAATGTCTCCCTATAGTAACATGTGCAAATTGGACCGCGCAACTAAAAGCTAGCAGCTGAACCCTCAATCCATGATGGAGAAAAATGCCCCCAAAACCCTCTATTTTACCAAATATCTAACTATCTTGTCATCTGAGGGCCAAACGGGACACAAAGCAGATGGAACTCTTCCCCCTTATTATGTTTGATGAAAGGGAGAATCTAACTATAGTGAGAGTTAGATTATGTCTGTAGAGTAAATATGTATCCACAGTCAGTAGGAGGTTAGCTTCACTCTGCACAAAGACTAAAAGTAGGGAGAAAACCCCAAGAAGGTGTCATTTTAAAACGGTCCTTGTTGTACATAGTAAGTAAAGTGAGCTATAGAGGTTCTGGTAGGACGTGTTGCCCTCAAACAGAGCCAGGCTAGCAGTTTAGTGTTTTTATCTTTGTGCTAAGCTAAGCTAACCGTCTTCACCCTATAGCTTCATTTGTTTCCCCACAGACATGAGAGTAGTGTTGTTTTTCTTTTCTAACTCTCTTTAAAAAAGCCAATAAGTGCATTTCCCATAATGTCAATCCTTGAATGCAGTGCTAACATAAACTCAAAGGTATCACGCCTTTAGCCAAGTGCTACAAAATACCAGTAGTATCAGTTTAGATTAAGGGTGTAAAACAAACTCCTGAACAAGTAGCACTGATGTCACGCTTCAGTCAGTGCTCAGCATTATGGATTGTGTGTGTTTAAAAGTGTGTGTGTGTGTCATAATGTTGTACAACCCAGTTAATGAGTGTAGTAGTAGTAGCCCGCTAACAGTAGCCTGTTGCTGCAGAGAGTAAAGAGCAGACAGACTGTGTGTGTTTGCTCACCGTGCATGAGTGCACATGGAAGTGTGCTGCAGGTGACTGAAGGAGAGTGTGTGTGTACAATGTCTGTGTGTATTGGAGAGATTAGCGTTGGCATAGATTAGAATAACTCAAATGTGTTTGTGCGTGTGTGAAGTATACGTAAGTTAAGAACTTATGAACTAAAAGTGTGTGTTTTTCCCCATGCTATGTAGATTGTGTACTTCAGTGCAGTATTTGTATATTTTTGCAAGCATTATAGAATATGAGAATGTGTGTGTGTTTCTGTGTGTGTGTGTGTGTGTGTGTGTGTGTGTGTGTGTGTGGCAGGTGTGTAAATAGGCCAGTGCGAGCAGACTACTGGTGAGCCAGCTGTATTCAGAGTAACAGGATCAAAGTCCAGCGCCACATTTGCAGGTATGCATCTACAACAGTCGTCATTTCACACATTCAAAAATCACACTTTTTTTAACCACAGTTTCACACACACCAACCTAACAGTTAAATGTAGCTGTACTGCAGCTATACACCGTACAAGGTAAATAATACATCTATATGACACAGATGAGCCCTTTGCCCAAACTAAATAGACCCTTTACTTTGACATACTTTTCCAGCTCTGTCGCAGGTTTTTCTATGGATTCCTGTGACTGTTATTTTAAAGTTAAATACAAAATCAAACATTGTTTTAATGCTCTAGTCATTAAGTGATGGCCTTGTTTGCTTAGCTGTAGTTTTATAGCAGTCAAATTAAAACATAGTTATATGCAGGTTAAATTGTAAGACAACGAGAAGTAATAAACCATTCCCAGCTATTATTGTTGTATATCCAGTTAGACAGGAATAATAAACAACTTATTTGGCCTCATACATATTGCTTTTGGAACTGAGCTCATCCTGTGATAAGTTGGAAGCTAACCGTAGCGATTCACAATAAATGGCTGGAAGCCCAGGAAAGGTCACTAAGCCACTCCACCACAAGGGCACCTCACTACTCCTACTGCCTGCCTGCCTGCCTGTCTGTCTGCCTGCCTGTCTGTCTGTCTGCCTGTCTGTCTGTCTGCCTGTCTGTCTGTCTGTCTGTCTGCCTGTCTGTCTGCCTGTCTGTCTGTCTGCCTGTCTGTCTGTCTATCTGCCTGTCTGTCTGTCTGTCTGCATGTCTGTCTGTCTGTCTGTCTGCCTGTCTGTCTGCCTGCCTGCCTGTCTATCTGCCTGTCTGTCTGTCTGTCTATCTGCCTGTCTGTCTGCCTGTCTGTCTGTCTGCCTGTCTATCTGTCTATCTGCCTGTCTGTCTGTCTGTCTGTCTGTCTGCCTGTCTGTCTGCCTGTCTGTCTGTCTGTCTGTCTGTCTGCCTGTCTATCTGTCTATCTGCCTGTCTGCCTGTCTGTCTGCCTGCCTGTCTATCTGTCTATCTGCCTGTCTGTCTGCCTGCCTGTCTGCCTGCCTGCCTGTCTATCTGCATGTCTGTCTGTCTGTCTGTCTGCCTGTCTGTCTGTCTGCCTGTCTGTCTGTCTGCCTGCCTGTCTATCTGTCTATCTGCCTGTCTGTCTGTCTGCCTGCCTGTCTGCCTGTCTGTCTGCCTGCCTGTCTGCCTGTCTGTCTGCCTGTCTGTCTGCCTGCCTGTCTGCCTGTCTGTCTGCCTGTCTGTCTGTCTGCCTGTCTGTCTGCCTGTCTGTCTGTCTGTCTGTCTGTCTGCATGTCTGTCTGTCTGTCTGTCTGCCTGTCTGCCTGCCTGCCTGTCTGTCTGTCTGCCTGTCTGTCATTATGGCAATGCCCAGAGCCCAGCTGGCTGCTGATTGGCTGCTGAGCCCTCCTGTGGGTGGAGCCACTGCATGATGAGGAATCAGAGGCTCTCCACTCAGCTGGGTTTGTTTACATTGAGCAGGAGAGAGAGAGAGAGAAACAGATATGAGAACATTAGGATAAGTATCTAGGAATACTCTATATAGATATTTAAATGTGCTTAGTTCAAGGAAAATAGGATTATATTAGCAAATAGTAAATGGATGCTGGTACTTTATGTGTATTTCTTATGTAAATGTGAGAGAAAAAGATACATACACGTTTTTATACTGTTTTTTAAAATCAAGAAACATTACCTTGCCAACAAATGAGACACAAAGCATGGAGGGGTGACTTGGACAAGTTGCAAACAATTGCTCTGTTGCATAGATATAATTACATAAGAGTATGGAATATTGTTTTTACTGTGACTGTAACATCCAGGGACTACAGATGAGCCTCTTAGCTAACTCTGGTGCATATATTGCAATGTTTATTAATGTCCATTGTCCCCTATAAACGATTAAATACACAAAGATAATATCAAGCTTTATTTAACATTATATGAATTGTCAGCGGGAACTGGCTTTCTAATTTCAAAGAACTTTTGTTAATGGTTCACACACAGCGTAACGTGATAATGATAACATAATAGCAACACCACCAGTACACTAAACTAACTAGAACTAACTTTTGAGGTTAAGGCAAAACTCTCAAGATAATCATCAAGTGAGATCAAGAAATACACGTCAGCCCAAGCACACACACTTTACCACAACAACAAACTCAGACAGGAGCCCAAACAGCCAAATAATAAATAAAACTGATATTTTTTGGACCTGCCTGAGAGCTCAATTTACCCACAACTACAGGGACAAGCTAGAATGGAGGACAGACATCAGCAGCCTTTTCATCGATGCACTCGACTCGCTCACACACAGCAGGCCACCAGAAGCCGAGAGGAGATATTGTAGTAGATGAGAGAAGTGGAAGGAAAACACAGAGATATCTGAACACGGCATGAAGTGCTGATTCATGCAAACACACAGCTTCAGAGGCACGACTTGCACACAAAAACGAAATAGTCAGTTGTTACCGGGGCTGCTCCAAAGAGTTCAAAGCTTCATTCATAAAGTTCAAAGTCTATATCAAAATGTTTAATGCTGCACAGATTATTTTGGGCTCATCTATTCAGTCTGAATAATGTCACTATGCTATTAGTATAATACTATTTGAATGAGTTTCATTTCAAAGCGTCCAAAAGTCAACAATTATTTGACGTTCTAAAACAAGAATATCAGTCCAATCAAAAACATGTTTGAATGTTCAAAAAGCTCTTTATTTTTCTCATACTGCCTGTGCTGCAGCACCTCTTTTCACCCTCTGTCTGAAACCAGAGCCCAGTCTGCTCTGATTGCAGTGTTTCCCCTATATACAAATAGTTGCGGCGCAGGTATATTTTTGCTAAATCTTGAGACATTGCCACTGTATGTACTAGGCACGGCCGATTTTTGGCATAGGCCTAGCCCTAGACCAGGGGTTCTCAAAGTGCGGCCCGTGGGCCAATGGCGGCCCTCGGAAATGTTTCTGGCGGCCCGCGATAGTTAATGTGACACGCTGAAATGCATGCGTTATATTTGAATCCTCCATGGTTGTATCTAGTAAGAATTAGAATGAGTAGCTTTCCAGCGGTATCTCCTGTGAGACTGTAACCAGGGCACAGCAGCCAATATGGCCGCTCAAAGCAGCTTGACTTTACACTGTGGGATTGGTGGATTTGTGTGTCCGTCAAGGAAATCTCGGCCGGCAGCCATCAAGGTCTGAAATGACCAATGGACATCAAGAAATCACTAAGGGCCTACCCA